AATTTAGCATCCACCCTATGCCAGACACTTGTGGGCCCTAAGGATGCAAAAATCAGACACAGCCAGTGTCTTGTGGGACTTGTAATCTAGTATGGAAGACAGGCTTTTAAAATGTAATTTCTTTACAAAGTGGAAAAGAGTCTTAACCGAAAGTCTAACAGAGCTACTTGTTTAATTCAGAAGAGGTAAGAAAATGATAGAAATAGTAATAACACATATTGAGTACTTACTCTGTGCCAGTCCTGTCTTTACTGCTTTACATGTGTTAATTTATTTAATCCTCACAACAACCGTATAAAATAGGTACTACAGTAAAACCTATGCAAGCCGGAACTCGCCCAGACTGCCTTGTTTTTCCAGATCGCACAAGTTTCCCACCTTTAACATGGTGCAGACTTACCACTTTTCTATTCTGTTACTGGAAAACATTTGCGTTTTCCTTCTCTGACAGGTTTCTGCCTTATACAGGTTCTGGCTTTTGCAAGTTTTTACTGTATTATTATCCCCCATTTTACAAATGAAAAAACTAAGCATAAAGAGATTAAGTTGTCCAAGGTTACCCAGAGCCAAGATTGAAACTCTGGCAGTCAGCTTTAAAAGCCCATGCTCTTAACCACCAGGAAATCCTTCCAGTCTAAGAAATGACATTTGAATTGTCACGAGAAGAATGAGTGGAATCTAAAACACAGAAACTTTCCAAGGAGAGGAAACTATAAACTGAACAGATACATTAAAATCACTTTTTTAAAAACACAGATTTTAGGCACCTCAGGCCCAGCTTCTGGGAAGCCTAGTCCTAGAACTGCAGCTTCCAAACTGGGATTCTCAGCCTCCTAGGGATCTGGGTCGTAGTATTGAAAAACAAAACAGAAAAATCCATTGCTCATTAATTGAAAAATATATTAACTGACAATAGGGCTTTAAGGAAACTGAGCTTTTCTTTATTTTTTGGCTAGTGTTTAAAAACAGTGGTTTTAAAAACAGCAGGAATTAAAAAATAACAGTAGGAAGCTTCAGATTATGAAATCTTATAGATTTTTTGAT